AAGATCCTCATAGTATCACTCCGCTCCATTTCAAATTTGATCGTTTTAGTGCAAGAGAGTTCAAGATTATCAGCATTTATAAAAGTTCATGTTTGGTAAAAAAAATATCGAAATTAATTTATATCTTCTAAACAGTAATAGATAGATATAGGAAAATAGTATATGAATTTATTGACAAAAAGATAATGAATCATAATATGATATTATATACGGGGTGTTCCATTTGAAAAATCAAAGAAGCCGCTACTTTATAGTAGAAGCGACAATGAAGCTTCGTCTGAAATATTTTAGGCGTGTAGGTCATATTTACTTATGCATATTCTGGAATTTTCGGGTTGATCCGTTGAATAGTTTGCCAGAAACGGCTAATTAACGCTCATCATGAAAAGCCCTGTATACCCGTCCACCCCTTCCTAAGGCCAGCCCTGTATTGAATCGATGAATAATAATTCACATTAGTGAAGCCTGAAAAATTTAATGCTAATCATGAAAGAAGTTGTCTAACTCATCTCAGCTAGGATAATCATGCCTCTTTCTATGTGGCTCAAAGTGTTTGCACAAAATACGAAGCTGGTGCTCCCAATGGTACATATATATACAGGAAGTCAGAATAGAAAAAAATTATTGGGATAACAAAACCAAGATCAATCAAATGAAAACGTAGCATATGTAATTGAAAACAACTTCTCAACAACTCTTAATATGTGAAACACAGAAATTAAATAAACTTTGACCGAAAATTGAGCTGAATTTTAAAAACAAATAGCACTTACTATTCAGATAGCGACTGGTGGAATCTTGAATCGGAATTTTGATATTTTAAACTATTCTATGTGAATACAGGTATTTTTACGATCAACATTCACATTCAAATTTTGGTATGTTCGGAATATATAATTATAATTCCAACCAATGTTTATTTGTGAATTAACAAGATTTTATAGTTACATTAGTAGATTAGAAACTGAGTTTGACGTTTTCATTCAGCTGTGCTTCCTTCTCATTAACACCATTTCCATAATCACCATGAAATATTTCAGATATGCAGGAACTGTGAAAAATTGATATGAGAGTGTTTCCATTACAAACCTTCATTCACGCTTGCATTATGTGAAAACATTAGAGATAGTGTATCTTGCACTTCTCACAAAAACTTCATATCTCACATTTTCGTGACAATGATAGATTATTGGACAGTTAAAGAAGATAAATATTAATTATAATGCTAGAAGAAATCTTAAAAAATTAATACTGATAAAAAAACACAAATATTGGTGACTTGCGAACAGAAGAATTCTTAGAGCTCATTGGATATAGAGAGTGATATCTTCAATCTCTTACAAAACTCCAAGCAGATTCGACGATCGTATCGGCAAGAGAGATATACTAAGAAAATTAATGGAATCATTTTTGTGGTATTAGCTATATTGGAATTCCAAAATAGTAGGCACCAAATTTTCAAAAATGACTGACGTTTCTGCCTTAATCTGTCACTTGCACTGGCGTATGGAAATTATACTGAACAGATGAAGAAAAATGAAATTGAAATATATAGAGTCACAACTTTCACAACAATGTTTTTATTTTAATGCAATGATATTTTTGAGAATTCAGTGCCCACAAAATCCACAATTGTACCAAGAGCCATGGAGACAGCTAATCTACCAGCTAAACAATTTGCGTCCCACTTCACGGTCGATTTTCTAGGAAAAGTACTAGGCACTATTTCAACACTATACGACAAAGTCAAGTCAGGCAAATTTTGAAACAGCTTAATATCAACAAGGTCCTAATGAAGTGCCCGTCATCGTACTTGAAAATTGCGCCAATGACTTTTCAACCTGTTTTACGAGGAAGGGGATTTTCATTCTTATTGGAAGATTGCTAGCATTAAGCCTATTCCCATCAAAGGAAAAAATAATTATCGCTTTCGAGTCGCTTTACTTTCAGCGATATCAAAAATGGTTGAATAGAACTGGCCGATACTTGACCTTGATCTTGAGCTAACCAGAAAACATCGACAGCTATGTTATCATTTGAACGACCTGAATATCAAAACGATGTAATGGTGTGTATAAACCTTGTCGGCAAGAGGCACATTACCTAGTCGTTTTAATAAAGTCTATGTTTATGGGTGAGCATCAACCCGCTAACATCGCGGGGGACGTTCCCCATCGCCTCCTCTCGGCGGTGATTTTCACTATAAAGGGTTTTACAAAAACTGCGACACGTGTTTCGCTATACAATACCTTTCTCAAGCGTGAAATAATAATTCTAAAGAGTATAAAATAGTTGTAATTTAGAAGTTACTCAATATTTTACAATTGAGAAAGATATTGTATAGCGAAATATGAATCGCATTTTTTGTAAAACCCTTTATAGTGGAAATCATACAATAGGTAAACGGTATTAATGACTATCAAAAATCGTGAAGAAAGCCGTAAACCACATTATCCTTCAATATTTGGATGGCTTTAACATCTTGACCGATCCTTAACATGGCTTTCGTAAACAAAAATCAACAAGCGTCTATCGTATGTCACCCATATTTGGAAAAACGCAATCGGAAAACATGAAGAGTCAAGAGCCGCTGCGCTTGATATTTCTAAGGCCTTTGACCACGTGTGGCAAAATGGTTTGATGGTCAAACTTCGATACTATAGCTTGTCGGATCATTTCTGTGTATGGCTTTCCAGCACAATTGTCTCGACTTTTCATTTGGATTCCAGGATATCGACTGCTGATGCACATCTTCAACGGCAGCAGAAGGTTGTAGTGTCAATGAGGATCTATAGGCGATTTCGAATAGAGGTGAAAGTAAACAGGTTCAATTCAATGCCATAAAAACTCAGGCATCAGTTTTCTTCAGAAACGTAAATGTTTTCGAACCTTAAAATTTCAGGACATCAATTGAGCTTCCTGCTTCGATGAGTTTGTTGGGGGTTAAAATTGGTACCACTATGTTTTGGCACGATCATGTCGCTGGAATTGCAATTGCTGCTTCTCAAAAAAAAGCTTGGAAATATGTTCCGAATCAGAAAATTGTACGAACCTCAGCAACTTCACATGTATGGATTTCTGCCCCTGAAGCTGCTGGATTACATTCATTAAAGAGTCATCCGCCTGACTGGAGACACGAACATCACTTGCAACATCGAAGAATAATTGGAGATTTGTCTTTCTTTTATAAATACTCTTACCGGAGGTGTTCAAGGGACTTGACACATGTGATTCCACCAAGAGCGGTACATATCAGATTGATATGAGTTAGCTGTTGCTGGATGAATGGAGAGTGCAGATGTTGAATTCTGCCATATGTTGAGTTACGTTGAGTAACTTTTCAGTGGAAGCATTCATTATTATTATTATTATTATGATCATTAATAAATACGCGACGAACAGTGGCTGCTCATCGCTTCGAAGTTCAACTCAGTAGACCTCAAACTTCACTGTTAGACAACTTTTTCATTCGGATAAATGCGTTTACGTGGAATAAACTTTCTGAGAACGTTTTCCCAAAAAAATTTAATCTTTGGCGATTCAAATCCAACTTGAATCACTACTTTCGCACTGGCAATGCGCCTCAATAACTTTTTTGTATTGCTTGTGCTTTGTGCTTAAAAAAAGCTATTATGAAATTTTACCATAGACAAATAGTCTCTTTCTAGCCGTAACTTGTTTCCGAGCCCGAATGATAGAATGGACTAATAGTTTGAGACAGATGGTTTTCTTGTGTTTTTATCTACCACAATCATCTATATAGACTGCTTTCATTTTCAACCAGCCAGAAGGCACTTTGTTTCGATGTATATTATAGTTCTGATGTTCTTTATTCAATTTATTCTACTAATTGCATATGAGATTTTGTGTCCTCATTATTTTTTCACCATAATTCATAACCCAAATATTTTTTGATTTTACACTCAAAAAATATTTCCTTCAATGAGTTTATGTTCGAATATATTTCAGGAGTTTATGCACATACTGCTTCTAGACACTGGGAAAGTGACAGAAATGTGTTGAACAGAAATATGGATCCACAAACATGTGAAGATATTGCACATCAACTCATTTTTGGTAAAACCGGAAGAAATCTCCAGGTGATTTTAGGTGGAGGACGAAAAAAGTTTCTACCAAAAGGAGAGAAAGATGAAGAAAGCAAAACGGGTGAAAGATATGACCATCTTGATTTGATAAAAGAGTGGCAAAAGCAAAAAGAAGTTTCAGGGGGCAAATTTGCATATATTTGGAACAAAGAACAATTGCTGGAGATTGACAACGATACGGAATATCTTTTGGGTATGTATGACATGTAACATTAAGATTGAATTTTTTCAAATATTTATGGAAATATACCATTGCAAAAAAGTGCATCTTTCCGCTTTTCATAATCATTAATGGTGGCCACAGTAGAGAAAATGAATACATTTTGAATTTAAAATGAATTATATGCGACATACATTCGGGCAAATTTTCTCATAGAGAAACATTTTCTCGTTCATTCAGCAGGACTCCGCTGAGAATGATCATCTGGTTCAACCAAGATAGCAGTTTGTCTAGAACTCGACTGACTTCGTCATAGTTCAACCACGTATGCGAGTAACAGTTCCATCTCGTAAACATAGGGCCAAGTGTGAACGAAGAAAACTTGCACAAATATCTGACGAATATAATTCAATATCTGTCACGAGGTCATGTAGGAAAATAGTTGTTTTCTGGTAGGCATCTGACAGATTCCACCAAATGAGAACTTTGAGAAAGATGAATAATATAAATTTTACTTCGAAATATTCGTTTCATCATTACACAATATTCTCGAAACAGTCGTCAGTCTCATTTTCATTTTCATCAGAGTTTTGGCACAATCAACAGAGAGAAAATTTTATTTTTTGATCATCTGATATAGGTACTTTTAATAAGGCGGTGAAAACTACTATTTCAACACAAAACTTTGGGTCATGGTGTAACTGAAAACATTCACTAATGTCAAACTCAGTTCAATTACTCTCTCATCCATAAATTTTGTTAGGTCAGGTTAGGTAAAGTTTGTTTTTTTTTAATCAAGGATTTATCAGAACAAATACCAGACTACAGTTCTGTTTATATACAATTGTTCGATATTTATCCGGATCCAGAACTATTCAGTCAACTCTGACAAAACCTGTGAATATTTTTATTATTTCATAATTATCGTAGTAGTAGATTATATTTGCAAGGTGATTGCGAAAGTACCAAGTTAGGGTTTTGAAAATTGAGGTTTCTGTAACTATGCTTCACTTTCGCTGACATTTTGTTTAAGAATTCAATATCAATATGAAACTGTCAATCTCGGGAGAAACGGCCAAATGCATATTGGAATGGGCCAGCCAAGGTCTCAAATCAACTATCACCGTTGAAAGAAGTTCGCTCTTCTACAAGATGCGACTAATCGATTAAAAAAAATCAGAAGAGGAATCTTGGTATGGAACCATGCACCAAGAATGTCACGATTGAAAGCACGTGCTCATAGTAATGCCGAAACATGGAGAATACTAACAATCTAATGGAGGGAAAGGTGGTAAGGAAATAATGTCCAATTGAAGACCAAAAACAAGACAATTACAAATCCACCAACGTCATCAACGTAAGTTTCTGCACGCTCACGGCTATAGAAGGATCCTAGCATGCAAGAGATCTCAACTTCACCATTGCTTTGAAATCAGAGCCCATTTTGGATATAATCAATGCAGGGTCTCCATCAGTTGTCTTATTGATCAGAGCACGACGGAATAATTCACATGGTGAATCAGAGAACTGCTGGATCGAAAACCACTTGTAACATCTAATCAGTTATGAAACACGAAAGGCTTCGTACGGTCTACGAAGAAATGACACCATCAAGATTTCATTCGATTTGAAACACTGGAAAAAGCACACAAGGGAATCATTTCTGGCTGAGACACGTTGACAACAACTACATAGGATGGAACAATAAATGAACAGAATAGGATGCCTATTTGTATTACTTTACCAGCGTGAGACATTCTATCATAACAATCACAGTGGTGCAAAAAGTCCACAATGAGTTGACGTTCTCAGATGTGATGATGAAGAGGACCGATGAGTGAAAAACATCTCTTTACCGAAAATCAAAACATGAGGAACAATATCCTACCACCATCAATCAACCAAGAGAGAAATCATCCAGATTAATTGATCATGATCTCCAGCAAAATGTTTACTACAAAAAGCTGATAGAACAGCAGGCACTGATCAGAAGATAACAACGATTTCAGAAGAGAAATAAATCATCACAACTAGAGCTATTCCTTCCTTACGTCAGAGAATTATCGAAGGGGATAAGAAAATGGGATATGAATACAATAGATTCTGCTTCAAATCAGAAAACATCATCCGTTTGTAGCAGTGTCATGACAAATTGCATTTGCTGAATAGCTAGCAAGTGCGGTTAGTCGTATATTGGTTAAACCAAGAGACCGTTGAAAACCCGAATTGGCGAGGACAAGAAAAATATTCAGCGGGAATGAATCAACAAATCGGGAATAGCGGAGCATGTTTGGACTCATCATAGTAACATCAAGAAATTCGAACTTGAAATAATCCACAGGAAGAAACAATTTCAAATAACTCGTTCGAATAGTTCGATCCGATATTTTTTAATATTTTCAATAATCTCAACATGTCATTGAATTTCGTTTCAATAATGTTTTCTGCATATTATAAATTTGTAACCCTCCGATCAGTGAGAATGTCCGTACGGACCTTTTGCAATATTTTTGAGTTCATAAATTTTAGTTATCATGCGCTAGAAACGTGTCGCTACATGTAATCCATAAAAACAACATGCTGAATCGATTAACACATGTTTCATCTCAATTCAATCTTCGGTTACATTTTTTCTTTTGTTTTAAGCAATTTTCTTGTATATAAGAAAAGGGTTACAGTGGAAAAAAACCGTTGAATGTGTATTTGAGACAGGTACCAGCCAATTTGAGATCATCGTTTGACGATTAAACACGTATTATTGTGCATTCGGGTTTTATTGTTTGATTCTTTCGAGTGTATAATATTGTTTCGTTACTTATTCTTCATGTTTATAAGGTGATTTTGTTTGTTTTATTTTTGTCTAGTGTATAATTTTGTGTGGTTGGTTTTATTCTGTAGAACAATGGCAGATGATGAGTGGGTCCTTGTGAACATGATTCTGAATAATAATACTACATGCTACAAGCGTTCGACTGAGGAAGGAAAACGTATCGTCGATGCAAAATGTCGAACTTATACGGAAGCTGAAATAGGCGACAATGGTGATCCTTTTGATGACGGCGATTATGACACTGAACTTACATATCGACCAGAATATGATAGGGATGTGTCCGATGTTGAAGTTGAAGGAAAGATAGAAATCGATGTCAATCGATGTTGTTGTTGCTCTCCCTCACACTGAGACTGATGCAACCTACTTTATTTCAAAAAATGGTACGAAATGGTACAACGATTCTCCACTGAGTCGTATAAGTGCTCATAACATCATCGACTACAAACAAAACAAACCAGGACCAACGAAGAAGGTGATTTATGATTCGCTTTCAATATTTCTTTCTCTGATCACCGAAGATGTTGGCATAAATTATCATACGCGAAACGAATCGCAAGGTCAACCAGGTAGCCGCCACATGAAATCCAAAAAAAATTACTATGCAGAAGCTATGGAAACCATTGACACTGAAAGAGTTTGACGCATTTGTAGCAATCATTTTGTATGCTTGGCTGATAAAATCCAACATCAAGCTTGTGAAGGAACTATGGGGCTCAACTGATGCTCCAATATTCAAAGTTGCTTTATCGTTCTGTGTCAATTACAAAATTCACTTACCAAGCACGATATATACATCAATACAGTAATAACATAGAATGCAAATACAATTTTTCAATATTTTTGTGATTCGTTTTACTGCCTATCTATCCAAATGAACCAGGAAGTCATAGCGGATTTTTTAATTGCCACAATTTTTTATTTTGGAGCATCTTTCAAGATATAATTTGAAGATTCGAATACTGACACTCTATTGAGATATTATTCATCAAATGTTGTTAAACTTATATGAAATCCATAGTTTGATATTTCATTTGCAGATTTCCATAACAAATTCGTAAGTTCCATTTTCGGCAATAATTCGAAAACTTCCCATACAAAATAATATGAATTTGTTTTTAGAACCTCTGGCCAAAACGAATCTGATGAGAATATTTTTCACACACCAGAATTATAGCGCTGGCGGGGTTTCGTTGATCAGATCAGTATCATCAGGAGATGAAAAGTGTTTTCATTAGATTTCTCACACACATCTTCATTATTTACAGGCCTATTCGAGTCCAGCCACATGCACTACAATCTCGATAGAAACAAAGATACCGACCCTTCTCTGGAAGAAATGACCGAAGCTGCCATAAAAGTCTTGAGCAGAGAAGACCAAGGTTTCTTCCTTTTTGTTGAAGGAGGAAGAATCGATTCTGCTCACCATGACACTCTCGCTCACAAGGCCTTGGACGAAACTGTCGAGTTTGCGAAAGCTGTTCAGAAGGCTGTCGATATGACTAAAGAAGAAGATACTCTAATAGTTGTTACTTCGGATCATGCTCACACTATGAGTTACGCTGGATATGCAGGTCGAGGAAGCGATATATTTGGATACGCTGGAGAGGGTAGTGACAATCACTTGTATACTATTTTGAATTACGCCAATGGGCCTGGATATAAGCCAATTGTAGAATCTGGGGAGCGATACGTGCCTACTGAGAATGAAATGAGTAAGTGTTCTGAGTTTTAAAAGCTATCACCTGCTTTGGAAAACTCCTGTTCCTCTCATTATAAATGTTCAAATACCTCTTCCTATCCTGTGACACGATTTATATTGTTTTTCATAATAATGGAGGTTATGCTGGTGATATAATTTCAATCACCATTACCATATCTGTGTGATTAATGACAATTGTATCCACAATAAGCCAATAATGACAAACTGCAGTAAAATGGCTAATATTCATGCCATCTCACAATGATCTTGCTTTATTTGGAACTCAAAGTCAAGAGGAAGATCGATACCACCATAGAATTAGAATTACCATTTCAGCCAAATGGTCTGAATAGAATCTGTAGTGATCGGGAATTGCCAATATTTCATGACTTTTTTCTTCTTTCTTCATCAACAGTTTTCACTTATGTCAATCCAAGTTACCATATCTTCATATGGCAGCGACTTGGGAAGAGCCCTGATAAAAAACTCTAGTGATGTATGCTGTAGTTCAATAATTTCGAAGGTTGTATGAATGCCTAGGAAGATATACTCCTGGCAGATTCTGCCAGTAGTTCATAGCTCATCAAGCAGTCCGTGTTAATTTTGAAAAATTTGAAACGATGCCAATGGTAGGTTACGGTCCGATGAAACCGCTTGCAGCACCCTCTCTCACTTGGAGTTTGCAACTTCATTACTTTTCAGTCCAGTGTGGTGAAGAATTCAGATCAGAAAAAATTGTTGAGATTTTCTATTGGGGAATCTTTTTTTCTGTTGATTTTCCACTAACTTGGATAGTACTCAGTTAGAACCAAACACCACTAGAGCCGTTCGGTTGTTCATGATTATTTTCATTGATATATGTGAAGCTGATTTCTGCCAACCTCTTAGGCAGATTTCAATGGTGTTAATTTGGGCGCATCTCCTCGTTACTTGTTGACGCAAAAGGGTTCTGTTATCCTCATATATCAACCCACATAGCAATAGATATTCCAGGTATATTTCATGAATATACGTTTAAGGATATTGTATTATGCTATGAATATGCCATGGATATATATATCTTCTGGAGAATATTCCCTGGAAGTGCTCCTGGCGAACCTTTGATATATTTTAAGAATATTCCTTGGGAATATTCTTGGAATATCTTATAATATTCTTAGAATATCTNTAGAATATTCAAGGGAGAATAATCCATTTATAGACATTCTATGCACATTCTTTCGGGAATAATCCTGCCATATTCATTCAAGCATATTCTATGAATATTCTAAAGGCATGTATATATTCCAAGAATATTCTATGAATATTTGGAATATATACGTTCGTTTTATGATATACAGGGAATATTCCAAGAATATCTAGTGCTGTGTGGGAATAGGACTATAATTTCCTTCATAAGAATGATATTCATCTGATTTTTTTATTATAGTGGATGGTTGGAATAAATTCATGTATTTTGGTATTTGTATTTTTCTTCAGTTATGAGGATGAATGTATCAATCGTATTTTTTTTTATATTCGTGTTTTCCTTTATCTATATGTTAGAATGAATATATTTTGTGTACGTAGTTAGATTACATGTTGATTATAATGATTATAACACTTGGCAACTCTACCAAACTGATTCAGTTAATTTCTGAAAAAAAAAACTCGATCAATGTGTTACGAATCACATGTTGAAAGGTAAGACCTCGTTATTCCTTAGCTCGCACAAGTTTTGACTTCTGAGGGTTTGACGTTATTAGGGGTTCGACAGCTGGTTAACGGTAAAACAGATTTTAAACAGATTTTTTTTTAACAGAATGTATTTTCATGACTATGTATCACAATTACAATAGTCTGACCCCTCTAGACCTGAACGTTAATGAGGTTGCGTTACGGGGCCATGTTACGATTGCGCACGGCTAGTGTGATCCTCGAAGTAGAAATGGGTCAATTGAGGCTGAGCCTATGGCGAGAAGCGCTTACTGCGCAACCTCTGTTGCAGGCAACCAGTGATGCAATTGAACCCTGATTTGTGTTTAACAAACCGTTCAAAATACAAATGGAACAACACACAGTTAGATGATACAAAAGGAATATGCATATATACAGAGGGCTCAAAACCCAAAGAAGGCTCAGGATGTGGAGTGTACTCCGGATCACTAAGCCTAAGGGTTAAGTGGGGAATGGAAAAAATACCAGCGTGGTTCGAACAGAACTGGCTGGTATCTCAATCGCCACAAAAGAAATAACCAAGACAGGAATTTCTGGCCAAAACATAACAATCTGCACTGATAGCAGATGAGCCTTATTAGCCTTGTACAGCCAACGTGTTACCTCAGAGCTAGTACTAGAGTGTCACCAAGATTTAGCCAAAGCCTCGGTAGATAATAACATTATCCTGAGGTGGGTGAAAGAGCACGATAGGAGTAAGGGTTATCGCATTGCCGACTCTTCAGCCAAGGAAGCGGCTGGACTAAGAATTTTAGAACCCAGTGGCACGACGGCTCTTCTACAAGTAACTGATGATATTATTGGATNTGATGACTTCGACAATTGCGGAACTAGTCAAATGTTACACCCATGCTCAATCTTTAAAGAGATGGGATGAAATCAAAGGATGTAATCTTGCCAGGATCACCCGGTGCAACCCTGTGAAGCTGGCGCCGAAGAAATATCTGGCGATGACCAGGAAAAATTTACGCTCAACAGTAGGATTTCTGACTGACCACTATCAACTAAGGATGTGTGAACAGGAAGATGAAACTGTTAGGCATGTCCTATGTGGTCTACATCTGTCGATATAAAGGAGATGTATCCCAGTGACCTGTCCACCTTCCTGGAAAGGACAGGATGGACGATGACCTAGGAGGACAACTCCTCGGGAGGATGTACAATGGGTCACATGTGGCCTAAGTGCGTGGGCTTACACTCACCTTCCCTACTCTACAAATACAGATACCACAAATACTAGAAAATCCTGATTTCTGATAGATTTTTAGGCTATATCCATTACTATTCTCAAACACTCAAGTACCATGATGAAGGTAATTCAGGATATACATTCCTTATTAGCTATAGTTACTTATTGTGAAATTTCATATAAAAGTGTAGATAGTGCTGTTTGGAAAAGATTTCAATGGGTAATTTATTTCAAATGCAACCCCTCTGGACCCATTCCAAATAGCCTTTCAATCAAAATTACTTTTCCACTTTTCTATTCTAAGAATACGAGTACATATTACAAAGCATTCTCTGGAGAAATTGTGGAAATTTCAATCACCTATAAAGGGAATAATTTTTTTGTAGAGATGAAATTTACCATTTGATGTTTTAGAAATTATTCAAAGTAATACTAACTGATATGTGAAAAGAATACTTATCAATGAAAATTTATCAATTTCACCAATGTTCAAAACTGAATCGAATGAAAATTTTTCATTGGTGACCTTCGATGAAAAGTTGCGATATAGGAGTTCCTCATTGGAAAAAAAATTCGTTGAGATGGATTATTCAGTACAGTTTGTTTGAGAGTGGTTGAGAATATTTCATGGTGAATTTCATTAGTTCGGACTATTATGATTCGAAATCTGTGCAAGAACAAATAAAATTAGAATGAATAGCTTATATTTCAATTATATCAAGCAATTAAACCTGAGATGAAAATGAAATGAAACAAATGGAAAATTCAAGATACAAAATGAAAATGACTACAGAAAAAAATAATCAAAGAATTTAAAATGAATTGAGAAAATAGAAAATTTTGCATACCAAATTACTTCACGATGTTCAGATTCTTAAATAGTATCCACAGTTTTCTTCGGATGGTGACTGGACGATTCCTCCGAGGGATAACTATGTATAGGTCATTAGAGCGCTTTTACCTTCCCCCTCTTCCCTCTCACCGTTTTACCGGTCAACTCTCGCCAGTTGACCATTTTCCGCTTGATTGCAGGTTTTCATATGTTACGTTTCTCTACGCTGAATGCGTTGTTGGACAGCATATATGCAGTTTCCTTGAACTTCCTCTCAAACCAGTGTTTCTCCCTGTGGATAATCTCATATTAAGAGTACTTGATGTAATGTTGATAAGTCCAAACATGCTCTGCTATTCTAGGGTTAGCACAGAGAGGAAAGGGGGGGGGTAGGTGAAAGCGCTCGAATGACCTATAATTATAGGTCAACACAACAAAGTTTTTGTTTCGGGGTTGAAATTAGATGATTTTAATGTATTTCCACGTGTTAAAACCGAAAGTGACCATAAAAATTATATATTAGCTCTTGTTTTCAAGATATAGTATCATTATATTATATATATGTATATTGAGTTTTCAACAAATGAAATATTTCATCACCAACAGTTGGTACACATGTTTGTTTACATAACACCCCTCTCATCAGCTGTTCTTAAGTAGTAAACATAACCTATGTGAGTTTGTCAATTGTA